CCCCTCTACAATGGTGTATTCACAAAGATCCAAGAGAAAATGAACGTGTGACATTTTAAAACAAACAAGAAAACAATCCATCGAGAATTTTTAAGTTATAATAAGAAAAGGGGCAAATTTCAAATGTAACATTCACACATTAATCTGCCACTCATCTATTAATTTCAACCCTACTTGTGATAAACATTAAAAAATATCAATGAATATAACACAACAATAGATTCAGGAGAAATTGTGGATGTCTTAGCATAAATTAAACAGCTCTAAAGGACTTGAAATTTGTGAACATGTTAATCACTCAAAAATTGAAATGCACTTTAGAATTGAATTCTGGATTGCTTACTTCAATTTACTTCGAATGTTTGTTTGGGACTAAATCCATGTTTCTTTTAAAGCATCTACCGTTTGAAAACTCCACAACATTCCCCCGACCTGGCTACCGTTGGACATATACGTATAAAGGGATACAAACTCCAAGATTCGAATAATCAAATAAACTGTTTTCTTGATGGACATGAGCGTACAATATAAACTTGTTGAAGTTAAATTTAAAATAGAAAACACATGTCGGGAAATCGATGATAATTATGAAAATATAATATGTGCCCCCATTGACATCTAACAATACTTTCAGTGCTTACACAAATTTATTTATGTATCTGATATCTATGATAACTTGGTGATTTGTATTTTGATGAGTCATCAATATTAATTGATCTCATTATTATATAACTTGCATTCCACGGGGGCTGATCCAAAAGTTCTCCATCCTTTGCTCTAAAAATCTTTTTGATCAACCCGTGTATTATATAAACTGTAATAAAGATACATTCAACTTTCGCCTGCAACATATTTTTCCTATCAATGACAACCCTACTTTACATAAATCACAGCAGGTTTTAAACTTGTATTAAACGACGTATCCTTTTCAATACATCGATCACCGGTCCAGTGCCTTCATCTTATGAAAAGAGATAATATCCCCAAATCCATATTTTGAAACTAATAAGTAACTTACGGTATTAAATATTCTCCACAGTCCATGGTGAAATACATATATAGGTAGTAAATAAGTGCTACTGTGGTCAGTACTTAAAAATGGTTCAACTTATTCATGATTACAAAAACAATTTTTGTAACTAGGTAATTATCAATTATATATAATCAATTATAAAGTCTGGATTGTACTTTAATGTATCTAGTCATTAGTTTTGATAGCCTATATGTACCTATCATTTGGAAGTAATATACATATGCAGTACAAAAGTTAAAAGGTAATAGAAATTAAAAGTGAAAATTGACGTTATGACTTACCTTGCCAGGAAATCTAACATATTTTATCTATAACTTTTGCTTTTGGATTTTTTGTTTGTGTTTAACTTTCAAATCCCATAATTCCCAATTGTGTGCATATGCGTAAGTGTTAATCATACATCATGCAACCGGTCGAATATATTATATCTTGGTATATATCATGCTGTTAAATTTACTTTCATATGTATATATGAGATCGAATTACTTGGAAGTTGCATGACAAATGTATTTATCTTCTAAATAATTTGCTATAAGTGGTTAAATCAGCGTCCAAATGTGTGACAAACCGTGCACTAAATGTACACGTACCCTTGAAAGATCCAATATAATACAGAGCTACTTTACAACTTACTATTGAGGGTCGACAACTATTATTACGGGGCACTGTGACAGAAGAATGTTTGCTCGCTAAGTCTCAGCACACAGAAAAAATAAATCAGAAAAATGACAATAGGGTATATTTGATGATAGGCGGATTTATTTGTACTTGAGTATCGGTAATTCAAAAAAGCGTTGAGAAAATGAAATCAAAAGAATTGATAGCTAATCGCTGTTTTGGTCATATATGGTCATCAAATAAGTATTTTCTTTATAAGTTTTCACTTTAAAAGGAACCATCTCGACGTGTTTCTAAAAATCGAATTATTATAAATTTTCACCTTACAAGGAACTATCTCGACGTGTTTCTATAAATCGAATTATTATAAATTTTCACCTTACAAGGAACTATCTCGACGTGTTTCTATAAATCGAATTATTATAAATTTTCACCTTACAAGGAACTATCTCGACGTGTTTCTAAAAATCGAATTATTATAAATTTTCACCTTACAAGGAACTATCTCGACGTGTTTCTATAAATCGAATTATTATAAATTTTCACCTTACAAGGAACTATCTCGACGTGTTTTTATAAATCGAATTATTATAAATTTTCACCTTACAAGGAACTATCTCGACGTGTTTCTAAAAATCGAATTATTATAAATTTTCACCTTACAAGGAACTATCTCGACGTGTTTCTATAAATCGAATTATTATAAATTTTCACCTTACAAGGAACTATCTCGACGTGTTTTTATAAATCGAATTATTATAAATTTTCACCTTACAAGGAACTATCTCGACGTGTTTCTAAAAATCGAATTATTATAAATTTTCACCTTACAAGGAACTATCTCGACGTGTTTCTATAAATCGAATTATTATAAATTTTCACCTTACAAGGAACTATCTCGACGTGTTTTTATAAATCGAATTATTACGTACATTCCACAATATTATATCTAAGTGTAGGATAATACACAATATTACATCATGCATATAATTAATATAAAGAAGCTATAACGCGCACGGTGACTATAGTGAAAGATTTGAAATGTAACATGGAAATCAATATATAGGCCTAAAATGATATTACCTAGTTTAACTTCTTTGAAGAATGATTCATATATATCGAATGATGAGTGACATTAAAATATAAGTTAAAGTATATTAATTATTAATTACCTGTCATAGATTGCGCTTGTCTCCATTGCGCCCTGGGAAAAACACTCAAATTAATTTCAAATAGATGAGAAAATTGAAATGGGATTTTTCTGACATATAAATTGTTCAAAGCTTCCTTGTAAATGTTCAATATTTGTTTTATAGGTTGGAATACAAAGACAAGCAAATATAAAATAAAGATGATTGGAGAAAGTTACCACAACAAAAATTATTTTCGTCATCTGGACATAAATATTTAAACAATAACAATATTCTTGTTAAACGGGAAAACTACAAATTTATTGAAAATTCGAGACAAAATTGGATCATATAAAACATGACATTAAACCGGTACACGATAACATTGAGCTTCGTGTAAGAAATTAAACGTATACAGATGACAGTGTAGTCTAAATGAATAAATAATAAATTTTTCAGAATTTTAAGTTTAACGCTCACATCCACATAGATGCATCCCCGGTCTTCATCTCAATGACAATAAATCCCGGGAAATAATCGCACGATTCGAAAGAAATAAAATTTTACTTTCTAGACTTGAGGATATTTTTGTATCTTAGTTGAAGGCGTCGATTCAATCTGATAGCTTAACAGGATGCAATGCTTATATAGTAATGAATTCATCTTCCACTAAAAAATTGTTTATGCCTATCAAGTAGTGAAAATGAATATTTAGTATGCTCATTTAAATGAAAGGTCCTCTTGTCGCATGTTGAATATAAAAAACTGAACTGCATTCCGGCGCACTTGACGTTTGAAACAAAAGAAGTAATATCCAACACTGAATGATAGAAAACATCTGTGCTTTTTGCAGATGTCTTGAATAGAATAATATTCTATTTTGATTTGGGTTACATCTGCTTCAAATAAAAATAAAAATTACATTGTTTTATAATTCTTGTCTCGCTTCCACCTGTTCTTCTTTTAAAAGAACATAGACCTCTGTATCCCCATGGTCCATGGAAAGAATGGTTCTGAAGCCATGGATATATATTAGTCTTTCAATATTTGATGCTTTCTACGAAAAAACAAAGATTCGTCATTATGGGAGTTCTATGTGCATATTCACAGCTAAACAGCACAATCCGCATTGGCATTCCACACTCAATAGATACAACACAGTAGGGTTAAGGGTAATGGTCTCCTTACGATGGGGAGAGGGTCAGAATGCACCATGTGACTAACGATTTTGTTGGGTTTAGAATCGAATATGTGAAAATTACATTCCTTGGATGTCACAGTCCATGGTCAAATTATTATTTTCGCTGTGATGAAGTAAGCCATATGAGATTGTTTCTATTAACTCGAGGTAAACAACTAAGGGTATGCAAGCATGTGTTGTAAGCTAGAATCGAGAAAAACTCAAATCTCAAATTAGGTTCTCATGGATTTGGGTGGATTACCAGCACACTCCCATTCAAAAATATATAGTTATGTACCCTTACAATTGAAGAATCCTCGTGATCATGCAAATGAAAACGTATACTACTACCATTTGACCATCACTGATATCATAAACTAGAGTTCTAGACCACTGCATTCAGTTAAAAGCAATTTACTTTCCTGCAATTGCGATAAAACATGGAGTAGGTTTTGAGTAATTAAATAGTTTGATTTTAAAATTCATATTCCTGTTCCTATAGACCATTGGGTGTAGGATATCATACTTATCCTGGGATCAGCAATTCTGCAAACTTATTTCAACAAAACTAATTGTATTACAATATTTACCCGTACTTCCGACTTTAGAGTCCAATATGAGACGTCTACCATTCTTCAACACGTTACCACGGAACCCGATTTATTTAACTCTCTAATGCTTGCGATTTTTCGTTGACATTTGGTTAGATCAAATATACATAATGCTGATTTTCAATTGAACATTTAGATTATCTTTATGGTAGAAACTTAATGATTAGGCTTATTTGGGACGAACACTAACGAAATGGTCCACAAGTGGTTCGGCGACTAATCCCCTACATCGGGCTTATTGTTTCGAAATTTATTTGCAATTCCTAAACTAAAAATGTGATTTTTTTAAGATTAATGGGTGAAAAGAACAATCACTGCATATGCAATCTATCAATAGAATTTGACTGAATCGAGGTTTCCAAAGTTGATGAATGACGAAATAAGATGGCAATATTAATTAAGAATACACCATTCATAAATATACATACCCAAAAAACTGTGAAACCATCTTTACGTTTCAATCCAACGTCCGTCTCAGTCTTACAATTTCTGCCTCATTTTATAATATAATATTATCCCAAAATAAGATCCAGTTATAAATGTTCTCAAATATCTATTCATCACTATATCTTATATCCTGCTTTGTGGTTTTATTACTGGTTGTATAAAAAGACAATTCTCTCTCAATAATTTCCCTTTGCCTGAGCAGCCTTTCATTTTCACCTGTCTTCGTGAGTCGCCACATGATCAACAACTGGTTCACGGTCCATTTATTTCACAGTCCAACGAGCTAGTGATTAAGTAAATAGACTCAACATGTATTTATTTTGGCTTGTGTCATTGGGATTGGTGTACAAGTAGGGACTTACTCACTAATTCTCTTATATCATCTTATACTATTCAGCTGCTTTTTGTCGTTGGCTTTCAAATTCAAAAATAACGTCAGGATGATCGGAATGGCATAAAAGTCGCACATGCCACCATTTGTCTAACTATCTGTTCGTCTGTCCGAATTCTCAAAGTATAAATAGCCTTACAACCGTGTGTTTGATTAGCAAACTTGATTTTGATCAGAGTATTGTACGTTATGCCGATGTTTATAATCCACTCTATTCGGGTATACTTGTTATAATCCAGACCAGAGAAATGATGTTACCATTGAAGAGGGTCAGGCCTAATAATATTATTCGGTCTCCTTTCTCGACAACAGCTCAACACACACATTTTGATCTGTAAATCATTTTAGGAATTTCAAAACAATTCAAATTGTCTCTTAACCTGAATAGCATAAATATTGCCCATTCGTCAGAATATATTCATTATTATGTCTATCCTTAGGGAAATATGTTTATTTGTTCTACAGCCTAACACAATTAAAATATCAAATGAGTCCAATGTATTCAGGATCGCCAAATATCATATCAAATGCAGAATACTTAAATATATGATTTATCCAAATATCTGTCCATCCAGATATTATTTGCACATTCACGTACCACTGTCTTCAAAATGTGGTAGTCGATTTGCTCGAACATCTTTATAAGTAGCCGCTGCATCAGTATAGAAGGTTTCTATATTTCGGAAAGAACGCACGTGTGAAAACAAAATAATCCTTATTAGCTAATCGACTTTCATCATCTTTGCAAAGGTAACGTCTGTATGATTGTGCAATTGTATAATATGATGGGATGACTGACTATTTACTCACATCACCTCACGTCTCAAAATGCCAAACGAACTTCGCAAAGATAGCTATTTGTTGTTTAGATAATTATTTTCGGGTAAAATAGAGTATTGAATGTGTGTCTAAATGAATTAACAAGCAGCTATGAATCACCACAGATATCTGACTTAGTCCTACCACACCAGGTCACTGCGAACTAGCAGGTCATCGTGACCTACTTTGTTCACATGATAAGAACGATGTTTCTTTTTACACTGCACCAAATACACTACCTTGATTACTTTCCATTGCAAATATAGCAAAAGTTCAGGCTACGGTAACTTTCTGCTATTCCGACAATAATTAAGCTAATTCCTGCAATTGTTCGTTTGTGTTTTTATGTGTGTCACGGTGACCTACTGAGCTTTATACGCCATCTCCATCACTGAATTCTGCCTATTGATCTTACGGTTCCAACTTTACAACTAAGTTTCTCTTCTACCAGGTAGTCGGAACAAGATCTTCTCTAATCTGCTCTTGTGTTAGCTAATCCCCAGATGTGTTGTTAATGTTTCAATTATTCTGTCAATACTGAAACCGTTTACACACGCGGAGTTACCCCGAGTTACCCATAAGACCTTCTTCCCTATATCACTGATAGAGAATGCCGCAAGAATCCCATTCTATAATTAACACTTTTATTTCTCATGTTGCTAGTTTTTTTTAATGCGGCTACACATGTCTGTCCATCTGTCTAATGCCTTCAAGTGCTTGTTTCAGTCTAGCTTTACATCACTTACACTGAACAGCGCCCTAACGTAGACCGACCGCATCTACTATTATGTACAACAAGCCATTATGTCATTAATTAATACTCGGGTTAGATGTAATCATCAGAATACTAATCGAGATTAAAGCCCGTTAATTTTTCAGCAACCCCCTTCGTTATCATTGAGTTATTCTCGTGACGCGTTCTCAGACGGAGTCAAATTAACAGTCAGTTTGTTTCCTAGGATATGTGGGATATGTGTAGGTGGGTTATCGGTGGACTGACATCAGCTAGATAATCTGACACAACACATCATATGCTGCAATCGTCTGACTACTCACCTGTGACAATAGGTAATCTGTAATCCTACACGTAAACTTACCTGTAATCCAACTTATCTATGATGTACCTGAGTATTTGGATTCCATTATCATTACTACAAATTGCTACATTCCGTACAATTTAGGGAAACTATAATATGTCGCTATCTCTGGAGTTTTTGATGGTTTTTAGGGGTTTTTACTGTATTTCTTATGGTACCCTTCTGAATTATATATTTGTCATTACTTTTGGGTACACGTTTTTGATTACGTTACGCCTTCCCTATTAAAAGGAGAAGTGATTTTCATGAAAATCTCTTGGAACGCATCAAAGTGATAAACAGAATATTCAAAATCGTCATCAAAGACGAATTGAGAAACTTTAAGTCGGAAGTTATCAGTGTTAAAGTACTCCCCACGTTCCACATGAGTCCAATCACATCCGTATGGTCCTTTTCAACCAGCCACAGATCTTCGGCAGTTGCTGGGTGGATGGGTGCAATGACTAGTGTATACCTCAAGATTGCAAGATGATTTCAATATGAAATTATAATAACCTTTTTGGAAACAAATACATTATTAAAGGAAGAAATTGAAAAACTATGGACAATGTCGCATTGCAAACTCATGAAATTGCATAGAAATCAAAATCCCCGAAAACAAGGATCTCCTGCTTTATTATGGTTTGAATTTTGAAATAGCTCAATATCTTAGAGAAAACTTCAGTACATTCTTCTACACTGACATACCAAAATTGAATGGCAACAGTAAAACTATATCGAAACATTTCAAACGCGAATTTGAATTTGAGATAATTAAATTAACCAGCATAGCGTATAAATGTAATTGAATTTGACATGTATTTATCTCATGGATTCAGAATAAACGAACATCCATGTAAAACTTCTTTTTAAGATATGAACCTTTTAAAATAAGCTTTTTTATATTACTTAAAATTCATAGCTTTTGATGACATTTAAATCACTTCTCAATTACATTTGTCCATCACAGCACCAACTGATTTAAGTTTCATTCAATTTTGGTAATAGACACTCTTTATAGTAATACATTTTCTTTCAATAAAATTAACATTATATGGTTCATATAGCTTCACATTCACATTCTACATAAAATTGAAGAATGAGTTGTGAAGAACATAAGCTTTTTAGTTTTCAATATATGTATATTATGCATTAAAGATCATTAATCCAAACAGAGGGTATATTGAACAAATTGAACTGCTAGCTACTCATTTCAAATTGCCTAAAATCTACGAGGTGAAGGGAATACAATCTTGCAAAAGTTAGCTATGGCTTGATAAGACAGATAACATTCGATAAAATCGCACAGATATGCCAATCGTATTTATTTATAATGTAAACTCCCGTCAGAATGGGTTGATGAACATTGCCACAATCAGGTAATTCATACAAACAAATCGGGAATCAAATAAATTATTGCGTGAACGAGTTGTTAGATCTGATATCGTTATATTTAGATTGGAACCTGTTACAAAATATATTAGTCTAAATAATTAAATGTTATTGCATTTCCACAAGAGGTGTAGTCTATACCTAATCAATTTTATATTTTGTCTCATGTTTTTGTTTCGTTATTCGAAAAGCTGATATCACAATTATGTAAGATTAAATTAGTTTTACAACTTTAGACGTCTTTCTATAATCATTTTCCTTACAATACATGAGAACTTTAAGAACAAAAGAGCGATAAACAACAAACTCATGAAGGATACGTAATTCCATATAGAGAGAATTTTAAAGCTGACTCACCCTCCAAGCAGACCTATCTCCATCTTTATTTATATCCGGGTACCTATTTAGTATTAACTTTGTTGCTTCCTCTTTTTAACACTGATTTTAAAATGTACATTTCAAGTGATTAAATTTCTATATTATATTATTTAATAGTTGAATGTCACTTTTATGCTACTTGTAATCTCGCAGCAAAGAGGAACATGCATACGCATTATGCCAACAAATGCAATATCGCCATGGAAACATGTACTTCCCCATCAATTTACTCCATGTATCGGTTATCATGAAAACTAAAAATTAAAGTTCGTTAAATGCCAATCGTAAAGATGACTTAACATGGATGACATTCATTCATTGAATATTTTCTTGATATTTTCTTGATAGGATGTTGTCTTAAGCCCCTTAGATTATAAACCGCTTATCATTCATCAAAATATAATGTTTAGGGATGACTGGGTACTTTAATTGTCAAGTATATATTTTTGCCAATATACATGTAATCATAATTTCTGGATGTTTTATTTCGAATTGATGGAAATATTCAAGGGTGCAACTTGGCTGCAACAATATAATATATAGTAAAATGTCAATTGTTCCCGTGCCAAGTTTTTTGATTTATAATTAGGTCAGGTCCGAGTCAGTTTCAAAATATTTACAATATGAAGATATAATTAAATGTCAGAGGCATTTTTTTAATTTATTCAATCTGATCTCAATATATATTGATAGTACATTATTGTGCTTTCAATCACAGATGCTAATGTTCTTTGCAATGAAGACGCGAATGTGATACAAATGGTGTGAATATGAATGATGCCAATGATGTGAAAAGGATGCAAAAGATTAAAGGGAGTTTGGAAGACGTTAAAATCACTGGGATAAACCCATCTTAAACAAATGAGATCATACGACATCACATGCATATGAATGCATATTCAATAAGTTGTGAGTCCAGTCGTCGTGTTCCTTCCCGATTCTGACCTTTCCCCATTCAACCCTCCAAGGAAAGATCGTAGAAATGAGTAAATGGCTCGGGATAAGAATAGACAATGGACTGATCATCAGGCTCAATGCTACCATCATCCATTTCTATGTACTTATGTATAAGTATACTGGTCGTACTCCCAGTGGTTGTTGGCTTGTATAGATCTGTCAGTGTCAACAAGACCTTCAGTATTAATTCAATTAGACATAACATATGGCTAAAATCCACATTAATATTTATATACACTGTTGCTTGTAACTCGGGAATATCGCTCAATATACACCACTGATGTAAGATATGTTTCAATGTGCTTGGGATTATCGGTCAATTTACACAACTGATGTATGATATGTTTCAATGTGCTATGGAATATCGGTCAATTTACACCACTGATGTATGATATGTTTCAATGTGCTCGGGAATATCGGTCAATTTACACCACTGATGTATGATATGTTTCAATGTGCTATGGATTATCGGT